CCCCGTAAGTGATATTTCAGCTGCGCACGCATCCCATACTTCTCAAATGTCAGCCAGCATCGTCCAATGGCACCGCAGCCTGCAATATATGTACTTAACAGGAGCACATGGTGGAGAATCCCGTGAACCCCCCCCCCCTAGGGCCCCTATTCGCGCCCCGCGGCAATTTCAAGACCCCTTATGAACTTCGGGTAACTACGAAAAAGCAAAGTTGCTCGGCTCGGCTCGGCTCAGCCGAATCCGGAAGCGAGTTCCGGTCACTGGGGAGTAGGGGCTCCACGGGCTGGGGAAAGAGAATTTTGGGCAACTACGGAAAAGTAGAGTTGCTCGGTTCGGCTCGGCTCGGCCGAGTCCGAAGGCGAGTTCCGATCACTGGGGAGTAGGGCTCCAGGGGCTGGGGACGGAGCAAAAGGTAGTGGCGTGAGAGGTGCTATTTAGGGTTCGGAGACCGTAAAACAGTGGGAATTACCGGGATTCTTGATTGGAGAGAAACTGTTATTCTGGTCAGAGATGAGAATTGGAAATAAGGGTAGGATGATCATATGGGTTCCTTATCATAAAACTTTGGTACTGCGAGGAAATTAGCACTTTACCCGGAACCATACCCAGGCAAAAACCCCGGGTTCCCTCACTTTCGCAACTCGGACCTGAACCGAAAGATAAGTGATTATTGCAGGGGCAAGCCGATCTTTAGCAATTTTCACCTGTCTCAAGCCAAATTTTAGTAGCTGCATGAATTTCTGAGGTGTAGCGAAAAAGCGTTATCTGCTTGATGCGCAGACAGCGAGAAGAATGCGGGAATCCTCGAGTCGCGGACGATGCATACGTGGCGTTTTGCGTATGGGTAGCGTTGCACACATGTGTGGTGTATGGTGCTCTTATATCGGGGGTACCCGGCGGGTAACTGTCCCCTCAGGAAGGGGGTCTTGGGTAGTGCCTTGAGCTGTAACACGGTGGACCCCGTATATGTGCGAGGTAGTATTCAGACGGAGGAGAGCGCTGGTTTTGCGGTAAAATTCGCTCGTTCCTTGGCCACACACTCATCAGATTGTTCTGTTTTCCATTGGACTGATCCCCATTACCCCGTATTTCTACCTTTACCCACTGCCTCGCTTCGTTCCTCTCCCCTTACCTTCTTACCCGGGCGGTATTGCCCCAGTTGCAGGGTTGGGGAGTTTACCGTCGATTTAATTTTTTCTTTTATTGGAACTCGAACGCATTTCTTACGCGGTGTCACGGGGGTTAATGGACCGAAACATTTCTTACCATTATAAAAATAATAATAATCTCACGATTTTTCCAATTTCCATTACCGACCATCTTTTTGCCTTTTTCTTTTTATGCGTTTTGTGCTATGTAACAGCGTTACAAAACGCATATTGTCACGGGGTTGTCTGTGTGTGTGTTTGTGTGTGTTTGCGTGTGTGCGTGTGTCCCACATTTTGTCCCGCACTTTCAACTCGGGAACCACAAAAAATAGGCGGCTGAAATTTTGGTATAGTGTTCCCCGCCAACGGGTGACGCGGCAAATTTGAATCCAGCCTTCCCTTACCTGCGGGTAACACGTACGGCCCCGTGAAAGTTTTTTACGGGTAAATTAATATCTCAGGAACCACCGAGTCTAGGAGGCTGAAATTTTCTTTCATTCCTTTTTATTAAACTTTTCTGTTTCATTTTCATCGGTCAGTAATCTCATTTCTCTTCGGTCATTTATACATTTCCCATCTTTCTGCCCTTCAGCAAAATTTCTCTCACCACTGCCCACCTTTCCTTTGTATCTGCATTTGTCCAGTCACCACTAATACTTTTCTAACTTTTTGTACCTCACAGTCCATCAAAGGGTGAAATTTGTCTTCGCGGATAAATTGTCCTTATTTAAGGGTAAGTGAAAATGTAATTGGAAAAAGTAAAAAGAGGTAATGAAGAAAATAAAAAGAATGAAGAAGGAAAAATATAAATGAAAATAATAAATTAGGTAAGAAATGTTTCGGTCCATTAAGTCGTATTTTCCTCCTCCCTGTCCCCGTATTTTGCTCTTCCCACTGCGCTCCTCCATCTACATTTCTCCTTCCGCCGTCCACAAAATAAAATGCCCCCTTCTGAACTGCTGACCACAAAATGTTCCTCGCAGCTGACCAATAGCCACTGTTTAAGCTGTTTACTGCGGACGAGACCCACAGCTGGAATTGCCTACCGAAGCAGTTCCCTTCTGAACGACCCTACTCGCTTCCAACTAGCGAATACTCTTTTCTGTATATTTTTCGGGAACCACTTGGGCGACTCACAGACAGGTGACTCATACACATCGAACAGGTGGTGGGTACTAACTGGAGGTATATAACTCAGAATTGGAGGGCCTGGTACAGCTGTGCTTGGAAAATGGGAGCATCCCAGTAACATCACTAGCAGGGAATAATGCCTGCGCTGATAGCCCGAGCAATCTTGATATTCTTGGTTTTTTTTTTCGTTATATTTTTTTTTCTATTTTTTTTCATTTTTTTTTCTACCGGTTATTATCATTGTCATTATTGTTATTGTTATTATTATTGTTATTACTATTATTGTTATAATTATTATTGTTATTATTATTATCATTATCATTATTATTATTATCATTATTATTATTGTTACTATTGTTATTATTATTATCATTGTTATTATTACTGTTACTATTATTATTGTTATTATTATTATTATTATTTGCCTGGCTTGTTTCGTTTTTTGTTTGTTTTGATTTTATTTTTTGTAAGTTACATTATCCAAGTTTTCGGGCGAACGAGGGAGGGAAGAGGGGACAAAACGACCGCTAAGATCGCCGGTTGGCTAACCACTAAGCGATGCAGCATTGGTCAAAGCAAGTGTAAAAGTTGCTAGCTGCACATTTGGAACCAGACCATGAATTAGCACCTGTTTTTCAAGTATTCCGGCGGATATTTGATGGGATAATTTTTAATTGCCAATCGAATTTTGCAGGACATGTCGGCGAGTGTTGCGAGGGCTTTGCGGTTATCACACGACAAACAGGAGACATTCCTGAAGATACTGATATTGGCGCTTGCAGCGATAGTCTCCTTTTCCAGGTATAACTTAATTTGCCTGTATAAACTTGCCCCTGACTCGCATTTTTTATCCAAAAGATAGTGCTGGACCAGCTTCCTTCTTCGCCTGTTTTCCCCCATATTTTATTCACCGAGATGTGGACTAGCCACATTATTATAATTCATTTCTTTTGTTCGGTATTTCATAGACCAAGTGTTTCCTCAAAGATTCATTGCCCCTTGTTACATTGCAGTTAATTATAATAGTGTATTAACAGACTGAATTTTAAATTCGTTCTGAGGCTCGCCCATGTTAGTAATATGCTGTCACACATCAGGTGCAGTTATCGTTTGATTTTGAGTTGCATGTCTTCTTCAATCAGTGCCCACCGTCTATTCGATGTATGTGCACCATTACTTCGAGATCCGTCCAAATGGCCGTTTTCCTTTTTATGCGTTTTGTGCTGTGTAACAGCAGTACAAAACACATATTGTTACGGGATTGTCTGTGTGTGTTTGTGTGTGTGTGTGTGTGTGTGTGTGTGTGTGTGTG